GGAAACTGAAAAGGCAGTTGTTCTCTCTGTCTGTTATGAGAGAAGGAAAGGGAGAAAAAAAGATGAGAAAACGAGAACAAGACAGCATCACTTGTGTAATGCTGAAAAAATCAGGAATTAAAATCAGGAATTAAATGATCATACTACTGGTAAGCAGCAGAGGGTAACAGAGATGAGCAGAGGCCGTCATTCACTCGTCAAGAGCAAAGTATTTCTCATTTTCTTTCACGGCAGTATAACAGAAAGAATATATCTTGCTTTTAGCTAGACATTCTCCTAATTAGTTGTCAAGAAGAAACTATTACAGGACATAGGCAAAGCAGATAGATAATTGTTGGGATTTATTTTTGAAGTGGGAGGGCATTACGGCATTGCAGGTCTGAAAGTGGGCAGAGGTCTGGCTTCACTCCCTCATGTCATTAACTACCTGGATGATGGAAAGGATTGGTGATGTGGACGTGGAGGTACATCCGACCTGCCATTAGAGAATGAATTAGAAATCATGATCATTTTCATACAGATCGCATTGCTTATGACAGATATGCTCACATATCTGCAAGACTTCTGAAGAATTGGGAAGGCTTCTAGGACAACCCTACGTCCAGTGCTGGAGAGAGGTCCAAAAAGGATATGGATTGAGGAAATAAGGCAAAGTATAGGATTATTTTAGCATCAAGGAGACCAAAGAAAGATATGATAATGATCTTCAGTTACTAAAGGCTGTTGCACTGAAAGAAGGGAATAATCTGTTGTCCGTGACTAGGGGAGGATAAGGCAGACAGTAGGGACCTTAAATTGCAGGAAGGAAAAAGTAGTTAGGCTTTAGAAAAAGCTTTTTAACATTAAGGAGAAAGTAAGTCTAGAATAAATCACTTGAGGAATGAAGGGAGCCTCCATTACCAGAAGTTTTTAATGTTAGAACAACTTCTAATGGCCCAGGGCTGCCTCTTGGGACCCCTCTGCTCTTCTGTGGCCTGGGACCGACACACTCAGCGTTATGATTAACTCACTGCAGTGACTTAAACAAGGACTGAGAGGCAGAAAGTCATATCTTGTGATTAAAACGAAGAATAGACACCAAGAAACATAAGCTCTGTTGCTGACTACATTGAGATTGTCAGATAAATGGCACAGCAGACCCAGAAAATGTGGTTGTACCCTAATAAAAAAGCCAGAAAGGAGAGGAAATTAGTTTAGGACCGTGCAGTTACAGGTAAAGCTCCTGACAGTATCTAGAAGCTCAGCACTGAAGTGTCTTCATTGCTCTGGGGAGACTAGATTACAAAAGCAGAAAAATTCAAGATTTACTTGGCCTCACAAGCATCTCACACTAAAGACAGCAGCCTGGCTCCTGCTGTGGAGGAGCCTCTGCAAGCTCACCCCTGCTCACTGTGGGAGCAGTTTGGGATATGATCACCACTCAGGACAGCAAAGGTGGTTTTGAATTTAACATTAAATTCCATGGCTCATTTCCTAGATTTGCAAAGAGCATTTTTCTGGGTGAGAAGTTACAGGAGGATTTTTTCCTCCTTTCTTAACATATTTCTAATAGGTGTTTTTATTAACCCATTTACTGCTAATTGCAAACAATTTTCAGTGCGTAGCTCCACTGTTAAATCTTCTCTTTATACCAGGCAGATGTAATATCCTAATGACACCACGCTGCTTTCACAATACTTGCCAGTGGAAACTGAGCACGCCGCCCAGCTCGGGGGACTGGTGGGGCTGTCCCCATATAACTGCAGTCCTGTATCTGCCAGTGGGTGATCCTGAACAGGGCACTCCCAGCAGGTATACTCCTAGGTGCTCCCAGACACTGCTCAGTTCAAGAAAATTGGTATCTATAATTGTATTTAACCTCTGTTATCTTCATACAACACAGCACAGAAGGTATCCAAGGCCCCTACACCAGTGTAAGTGAAGACAGGTGTAAATTCAGCAAATGCAGGTTTCACAGGTTCTATTTAGCAATAGCAAACAAAAGCCACAGGGCAAGATATTAGGTTTAAGTCTAAATACTAGCTACCCTCATCAGCTGAGGAAAATCAATCTAGATTACTGGCATTTCTAGATGTGAGACATTAGCTCGATGAAAGAGCCTGGTGCATCTAAACAGGCTACCAGACAGTGTTTTACGCTTTTCTGAGATGATTCTGTTCTCCCTCACACAGGTAATATTTTATTACCAGCTTTCACAAAATGAAATGTTTAATTTCAGACAAACGGACAACAAATGCAACATTTCCTGTCAAATCCATGATTCTCATTGCAGCCAGAAACAGCTGAGGTATTTAAGCATCAGTTCCCAGATCATCATGCAGCAATGTCTTAGCTTGTTCCTCTGAGCGTCTCTAGTAGTTATGTCAAACGTATGCAGAAATAAAAGAGGGATGGGTAAATGTTACACAGCAAGGGAAAAGTTTTCTAACAGAAAATAGTAACAACCATTTTTCATCACTTCAGATAGGGTTTTTTTTCAAATTTTAAATTGAAAAGGTTGGTATCACCTTCTCAACAACAGCTTGTATCATAAATTACTGTCTGTGCTTTGGGTATTTATCTTTTCAGTGTTATCTCAGAATAAATTAATTATCCAAATTCAGACATATGTTGAACTTTTGAATACCAGTACCACAAAAGGCTTGTAGATGGTTTTGTCCCTGTAATAAAAGCATCCACTGATGATTCTCTCTTACAGGAATTAGTCATCTGTTCTTTGTGATTCTGATTTTGTGGCTCACAGAGCCTTCAACTTCAACAGCTAAACTGCAAGCATATGTATACTGAAAACAATATTACTCTAAGGAAAATTTACTAATAATAAAATTAATTTTATACTTAGCATTCCCAATCCTAATTTCTTTTGAAGTCTTTTATAGAAAACATATAGGAATTGGTCCACTGCCCAGAGAAGTTCTGCTGCTGCTACAATGAATACGTACCAGTGTTTTATGGCAGCAAGGCAGTAAAGGAAGAACTCTTGGTCAATTATAAACAGAAAAGAACTTGTACAGGCAAAATCCAACCGTCATAGTTGAAAAACGGGCAGGATACCAATGCTAAAGACACTTTTTCGGTAACTTCCCCAGCTATTGCATGGGGCTCAGCTTACCTACCATGTCTGAAAGCTGTTCCCTCCAGCAGCACATTTACCCCAGCATCACGACCAAGCTCTGTACCTCCTCCTTATCAGATCAGACACTGACTTAGTCCATATGGTATAAGATCTTGCAGAATGTTGTTATTGGTTCTTTTGGCTCTAACCTTGCAGAATTGTTTTTTGTTGTGGCATGATGCATCTATACCGAGCTGGAGACAAACAATTTTCTGCTTACATGCTGGCAAGTGACATTTTGATGCAGCTTCCGAAGACAGGAAAAAAACTCTCAAGCGAGCTCGCCTTCCGAGCCCGATCCAAACACAAACAGCAATTGATGATGATGGATTTCAAGCGCACCAAAAGTTGTTGCGGAAAGACAATTCAGACTACAATTTCCCAGCACAAGCTCCAATGATTCCAAGAGCTGTTTTAGCACTGAGCAATGGACAACAAATTGTGAAGGAATAATTGCTAACCACGCGGGCTTCTAGGAAGAGGCTACATTAGTGTCCCCATTAATGAAGCAGCCAAATAACTTCTCATAAACAGTTGAAAATAATCTCAAAGCTTTAAGTGAGATGTCTAAGAAGCACTTGTTTCTTTAACCTGAAAACACTCTGTCCAGAGGGAAAGGATTCTGAGTATCTGAGTACTTTCAGACAGGTAGGCACAGACAGAGAGCGCTGTGACAGCAAACTAGATCACTGGATTCTTTTCTTTTCCTTTTTTTTTTTTTTATTATTATTATTTTTTATTTTCCCCCTGTTTTTAAATCAGATTGTAGCACTGCTGCCATACTATAAACATTCATTTGCATCAAACGAAGTGATGACAAAAGTCACGATACCCCATATCAGTACACAATATGCTCCAAAGTTTGCATCTCAAACAGGAGATAAAGAACGCTGTTTTGGCTGAGCTCAAGAAAATGTTATTGGAGGCGTTCCCCTGTATAGCAACCATGGCTCTTCATTGAGATGCAGGTAGTGCTTCGATACCAAAGACTGCAGTGCATCATTAAAGTACTGTGAAGACAAACAACACTCATGCTGCATACCAAGTGGTATTACATTTAACTGAATCATTTTATTATGAATACATCCAGGTCTGCCACTGGGAGCCACTTATGTAAAACGTGCTGGCAGAAATGGATCTGTGCTAATTATATTTCATGCACATTTCAGAATTAACCTCAGGGATACGGAAAGGTGGCAATAAAGACGACTTTTATAACCAAGTTCATTTGCAATTGGCAGTCACATGAAGAGCAGCTTTCCTCAGAGATAACCCTAGAACATCTCACATCAGGGGGTTTGTTTCTGTTATCGGTGTTTCACTGAAGCACAGGACACGTGAAGATTTTGTATCTCTTTGTAACACTGAACCCTTATCATAAACTAAGCCCCATTCAGATGGGAAAGGCTGAAGGACTTCAGCTAGTGCACCAGTTCAACTCAAATTTAGGAGAAGCAAACTACCCATATTTCCCTCCAGGGAGTGTCAAAAAGCACCACAATTAGGCTTCGTCAGTATGAGATAATTTCCTTTCTGAAGCAAAGGGTTGTTTCTTTCCATCCCTCTGAACTTTTGGAAATCTCTTCTAAGGACACACTTTCAAGCTTTTTAATCAAAGAAATGCAGAAAGGTTGGTTCACTTTCTTCCTTTACCTGCTTCACAGCTAAATCACCCAGCACACAATTAACAACTTTCTTGCTGCCTCTGACCCTTCTACTAGCTTCCTTCTCCTTTTCAGTAACATCAGTCAATTATCAAATGAGATAAAGGGGTACCTCCGAGCTTCATTAAAAGAGAGAGAAGAATGGGATTTCAGATCTCTGGGAACAAGCCAGCAATCTTCTGGATGCACAGCTGATGCTGAATGCCCCCAGATCCTCAACACCTGTGAACATAATAGAGAAATCACCAATTATCTCCAGTTTTTGCTTGAGAATGGGATTCAGAAATGAGTATCTCTCTCGGCAGAAGGTCTGCCTTGCTTATTATTTTCCTCATTTACCACTAAATACATTTTGGTTTGCTTTGTAAAGAGTTGTCAATGACCATTTTCCATTATTATTTGTTTTATATCAATAGCCAGGGCCTTGTTGTACTATTTATTATTCATTGTATGAATACAAACTATATTCCAGTGATAACGTGTTCCTACTCTGGCACGTTATATTTTGTGGCTTTCACATGCTTTTACAGAAGATTTTACATTTGCCATATGGAGCAGCTGAGAGGCCTCTGCTAGGATAAATGCAGCAGAGCAGAGGGGACACTTACAACCAAAGTCCTGTTGCCCAGATGCCTGCAATTGCAAGGGAATCAACTCAATGAGCCCAGTTAGCCCTTGCAGTCATTTGTTCTTGAGGCACAGTCTTGGACTAGACAGGCTTATATACTGCATGTTCAAAGGGCGGACAAAAAGCAAATAGGTGATTTATCCAAGGTCACACGGTAGGTAAAGGGCACGTTTGTAATCAGACCTGCTGCTGATCTCAATACAATGCAATGTCTCAGCTAATGAATCACATGTATTTTCTTTCCCACAGTTCGTGCCTTTCTCACTTGATGCATCTGCATTGAAACGTTTGTTTTATAATCAGGCAAATGAGAGGAAGCAAAATCGTTATTTCTACAAATCTCCTGCTCTTGCATACAGAAAGCAATTAAAGGCAGAGTTAACAGAGAAAACTTTAAACAATTTGCAACTGCATTTTCAGGCCTATGTTTTGCAGGGGGTCTCCAGAGATCTGGAAATATTAAACATGAGCTCTGCAGCCAATAATGCAGGTTAGGAAGCGATGCGATAAAAATCTCCTGAGGAATCACACAGGGCCTGCTGCAAAAGACCGACAGCTTAGATGGAAATATCATGGTCTACTGTGCACATAAATGAATAGGTAATTCCTAAACCACTATTTACTTGGTGGGTTGTGAAGGGTTTTTATTAAGCATATGGCTATAACTGTTACAGATTACAGGCCTAGTCTCTGTGGCATTCTTGGAAACCTGCAGCTCCAGCGTATCGATAGCCCAACGCACTGGGCTCGTCCTGCCCAAGGCCAAAGGAGGCAGAGAATAGAAGCAGAGCTGCCAAGATGCCCAAACTATCAGAAATTCAACCCCAAAAGTCATCAAGATCACACAGAGAAGTCATCAAACAGCTTCCCCTGCGTCACTGTAAGTTCGTGGTGCCTCCACTTCTGGGACCTGAGAAATTTTCAGCTGGTGGCAAGTCATGAAGGCAGGTCACAGCACAGGCCTGTGGCTGCAAGGGCCCGGAGGACACACATACCTGGGAGCCAGGACAGGGGCACACACAGCACAACCACCCACAGCAGCAAACACTCGAGGAGCCTTTTCCATTCTGAACAGCCTCTGCAGGCACTGAGCTCTCCTCTGCAGTTGAAATCCTCCGTGGTGTTTTGGCACCCATCTCCCACTTAGGCTTCTCTTACAATAAGCGGCAGAGAAGCCTTGACGCAGTCTTGATGGTCAGGGTCTGTGTTTGTTCAGCCAGCCTTTTGCAGAAGCAGTAAATTCAAGTGTTAGCACACAGCTGTCACCAAGTGAAGACAAGCACATGCTGTCCTCATGTCTCACCTGTAACAAAGCATCACTGACGCCAGTAATTTCTCCCAGGCTGTCAACACCTACGCCTTCTTAGAAGCTGAACTTTGTTGGGAAAAAAGGAAGGAAAACTGTAATGCACAGAGGAAGACTTTAGATGTGGTTTCCTTCTGACAGAAGCTCAAATAACATCCTTCAGAGTGAAGAAGATTGAGACGCAGACCTAGATTCATCAAACAGGCTTGTGTTAGTGCTAAGAACATCACGTACTTGCTACAGTTCAGACAAGTAAAATCTATTAGCCCTACTCTGCTGAAAAGCAAAAAGTCTTTAATATTAGTACTACTTTAAAATGTTACACACTATTGGTAGTGTGTTTTCTTGCCTTTGCATTGGAAAAAGCCTGGATAGAAAAACTATCTGAAGCATTAAGTTTGAAAATATATTGAAATACCTCCTGGGGAGATGATTTTAAGAACACTCAATCTTTTCTGTGGCATGATGCAGTAGGTCTCTTCATATCTTAGCCACATTTGTGCCTTAGTAATCCTAAGGGCCTGCTATTTGCAGCTCTACAAGTGAGCCACTGAGGCAGCTTTTCCCTCTGTGCTGCCACACAGGTGTTCCCTAATTGTTCTCATGAGGCTACACCTGAAAATCTCTATAGTTTGACAGCAAGAAGCAGCCACAGCTGCTGGATAATCACCTCTCTTCCATCCTTCCTTTTCTCCATGTTTGTAGATTTCAGCTTATATTAAAGCAAACACTACACAAACCAGGCAGGAGTAATTTAAATACTCAATAAATATAATCTGACAATATATGTGCGCAGAAGCTGAGCAACCAAATCGAAGGGCAACATTTGCACCCAGTCAGCGTGCTCCAGTCGATGCTAATAGTGTCCTAAATGGGAACATCTATTGCATTGGCTGAGTAGGCTGAGAGCACCAGTAGGCTTTGTCATGACATAGTGGTCCCAAAGATTAATGCCAGCAGTAGCTCTTCAACATCAAAAGCAAAAGAGATTAAACCAAAATAGATTAAACAAAGAAGGACTCAGGAACAGAGGGGAGGAATTACCTTATTTAATGAACTATCCCATTTCTCAAAAATAAAAAAAATATGTATATATATATAGTAAAATATATTCACATTTGCATATTAAGCTGTCATCCATTTTTATATTAAAATATTTTATTATATATTACATTTATTATAGTGGTAATAGTACATAATTTTTTTTCTTTTAGTTCCATCTTCAATTACCTGAAACTTCACCAAAGATTTTCCAACCTATCTTTTCTTTTTGCAAGCTGATTTGTCTTTTGAAATCACAGACACTGTTGTAACTGATGTGATAATTCACTCTGATGGGTAATATGCATACAGGTAAAAGAAATATTGGCACAATGCATGATCCTACCCATTGTAATAAATCATGGTAAATTAGTAGAGAGAATTAATTTTGAATATTTTTACCATAAAAATTAAGATAAGTTGAGAATGGAAATTGAAAGCATGAGCTCTTTGGGCAATACTGAAACACATAGTTGTAAAAGAGAGTATTTCTCCCCACACCAGCACATTAATAACAGTGGCTACACTTGAAATAAAGGCATTTAATGAAGAACAACTATGTATAAAAAAAAAAAAAAAAAAAAAAAAAAAAAGATTCAAGAATCGATCCATACAGAAGTAGACACATAATTAAGAAAGACCTGTTAAACTTCAGCTACAGGCTGATACCAAGACTATTAAAAATGTTCCCCACATTGCAAAAAAATGCATTTGTCTTGAATAAATCCCAGAGAGCTGGATCCTGCAAGCTCCCAAGCTCTCATGCTGTAACTCAAAATTGCTCACATGCTTTAGTGCATTTCTGGAGACCCTCCAGGGTTTTTACCATATACTTGATATGACTGGAGAGAACAAGCACATGGACTTGAGCACATGTTGGAAAACATATATTTAGTCCTGTGAGGCATTCAGTGGCATCAACTCTTACAGACTGATGGTTGTAGGATATCCATTGCTCTAGAATGGACCAAGAAAGGAACTGATAGTGGTGAAACACATCGCACTGCTGGGCAGTAATCATACGTGTACAGTTATGATCCACACGGAAAGAATGGATGGTGGCAACTGACTTGTCATCGACTTGACATCAAAACCACTACCATTTCTTTCCAAACAGGGTTCTGAAGTGATTTCTCTTAAATGATCTCAATTTTGTCCACGCTGCTAGGCTAGTTATTCTTCACTCAGCAAAGCAAAACCAGTATCTAATGTTTACAATATACACTAATTATTCTGCCACAAATACATGGTTACTCTGCAGTATAATTATGATGGGATCAAAATGCATAACTAGCTGAGAAATCACCATCTTAGTTTTTTGAGTTAATATCCAAATGAATTTTTAATTTTTGCTCTGCAGTCCGTACAGAAAGACAAATGAGAAAGCTTAAAAGCCTCAGACTGTTGCTTGAGGACTCGAATTTGCAAGGTTGTAAGTGGCATTTACGAGAAGTTGTGTTTCACGAGCTTGGTAATTTGCAGTTTGTTACAAAGACATAAACTCGTTTCTGACTAAATTGTATTCTAAGTCATGCTCCTCAGAGAATGACTGACTAAAAGGTGATGTTGAAGTAATTTCCATAACATCAAAGTACGCAACAAATTAAAAACTTCATAGAGAAAAAAAACTGGGGAAAAGGAGCAGGCTGAGACAGAATTAATTTCTTTATGGCAGTGCTCAAACATCAATTATGGAGGGAAAACTCAAATATTGCTATGAAAACCACAACATCAAATCCACTTTAAAAAGCAGAGCACTTGATATTCAGCTGTTAGGCAATGTCTTACTTCATTCTTCGAAATCATTTTTCAGAAGTGTCCAGATACTCAGCAAAACCTTCTCTAGGAGCAGACTCCTTGCAGGTATATACCAGCAGAGCTCCAGTGACTCGCGAGTTTCACTGCGTGGGGATCTGGCCTCCAAGGTCACTGTACTATAAAAAAGCAGAAAATAAGAATAAAAATCTCCCTCGTTCAGTGGCCTAGGACGTGCATGCAACCTCTACATCTGTAAAATAAGACATAGATATGGCTGTACATCAGTTATATATCCAAGTAAACAGGGGTCTGGTTCAAGATCTATCAAGTTTATGGGCCCTTTCCTACTAAATCTCAGGGCTCTTTTCCAAGAAAATCAATGACAACCAAGATAAACCAGGTTTGACAATGTTTTTTCTCAACATTGCTAGTGCTTGGTTGGTATGGTTCCGGCAGCTGTCATCTACATCCAGCAGGACCCCATTTAGTAGTACCAGTAGGGCAAAGGATTAGGATATCCATGCCACGGATCCCACACTAACACATTATCTTGGGGTTGTTTTTTTTTCTCAGGGGTTTTGGTTGAATTTGCATGTACTCTGGCAATCGTAACTGCTCACCTCAATAATGTGACATTGTGGGTGGAAAGATCAGTTGATGATTCAATAAAAAAAAATTGCAGCTTTCTTCAGAAGAAGCCGATCATTTCAACGGGGAAATTGGAACTTGTACCTGCCAAAGATCTAACTCGAGGGGAAAAAAAAAAAAAAAAAAAAAAGTTCTGTCAACCTTGACATTTCAAATCAGCACAAGGTAGTTGCACCAAGTGTAGCACGGAGATCCTACCTGATTAACAATTCCTATCTGGCAGCTCTTTACATTTTAGTATGACTGCTACGGCTGTTGTCCTTAATGAGGCAGAAGGGCTTTTGCTTAGGAGGAGAGACTGAAAGACCTAAACATATATAGCCCGGGTATGTGACAAATAAGGGGGGTGACAAAGTGTGAGAGTCATTGAAGGCAGCCAACGTAAATAGAAAAAACTGTTTAGTGTGGTACAATGATTATAAATGTGAGTAATGGCTTGCAGCTAGGATGAGGGTAATTTATCCTGAATGTTAGAAAAAAGCTCTAACAGTGAGGCTGAATTCATGTTCTGTGCTGTCAAGGAAATGGACTAAATGACATGAGAGATCTTTTCTCCTGTAATTTCCATCATCTTATGATTCAGGGAGATATTTCCTGCCTACCTTTGCATTTCATTCAGGTCATGCATAGGTACAGTAATAGAACAAACCTCCTAGGCCAGTGGGTCCAAAGCTCTGAAGCTGCAAGCAACGTATTATTAAATCTTTTCATGAAATTTAATAATCTGACTAATGTAGTTTGGATAGTTTCTTGCTGCTTGATAGTTTATATTTTCTTTTTAGAGTTCCCACTGGACAGCTGAACTGAAACTAGCTCCCCTAATGATAATTGCCTACCTAAATCATTCAAGACCGATTTATAAATGTTCTTATGCCAGTACTGTCCTTTCACCCAACTGTTGTGTTTTGTTTTTTGTTTGTTTGTTTGTTTTTTTACTCTTTTTATTATCTTAAAATGTACATGAATGCAATCATAGCTTCCCTCAGCCTTCAAAGACTTATCAGATAACTTTAGGCTTATTAAAATAAATAAATAAATAAATGCCCATAAATGTGCCAGATTATGACAGCAACGAGGAGCAATGAGGAATGACTTTTAATGTAATGAGAGATTTTTTGTTTTATTTTAAGCTGAAAAATTAAAAGCTATTACAGAATTTGTGCTGAAATGTTTTTTTTATAGCTTGAGACAGAATTGATTCTTCTGGAAACATTCCTGACATTCAGTTTAATTCCACAGTAAAAAGATGAAACAGACCCAACAACTTGCTAAAATCTACAACTGTGAGGGCAAGACTGAAATTCTTGCATTTTACTCAGCTCAAAAAAAAAAAGTAATTCCAACACTTTTCAGTTCCCTGGGGAATGCAGTGGTATTGCCTTCTTTGTGGGCCAGACACTCTGCTGAAACTATGAAAGGTGCAAATTAATTCCAATTCTAATGAGTTTTTTTGAGCTTTGGACACCTGAGACCACAAGCTTATTTCAGATGATCTATTGAATAGCTGTCAGATGGCAGTGATTTGTGGTTGCTGGGCTCAGCCTGATCTGGTGAACTTGGCTGGAAGCTGCTGTATCTTATCAGTAATCTCCTAGGCAATTATCCAAAGCACACATTTTACCTCAATTTCTTCAATTGTCCTTTATCAACAAAAAGTATGTACTTACTCCAGGCCGGGCGGCCTGGGGGAGAGCAGTGGAGAATGAAGTTAGGAATACAATCCCATGTCTATACGACAGATCCCTGTCTAGACTAGCAAGTACTCTTTCCTATTTGTTATCAAATAAAAATAGGAGAGAAAGAAGTGAAATTCAGCTTCATAATACTTATGTAGAAAAATCAGAACTAAAGCTAAGGTCAATTTTATTAATATTTGTTATTACTATTTCTAGAAGTCCATATTTTACATTGATAGTCTAGACTACAAATTATATATTTAATGAATAGCATTTCACTCATAAGAATAAGGACCTCTGCTTCATGACAAGTAAACAGCCTATTTTCTAAGGTGCTCAGCAGTGCACACTAAATGCTTTGCAGGACAATAAGAGCAGAGACAGAATAACTGATGTTGTGGCTTGGTGACTTGAACCTGAAATCAAAAGGAAACAAAATCATTTTTCTCATTACGATGTATAAAAAATCCTCCAAACTGAATCATGGGTTTTCTCCTAATAGGAATGTTTTAATACATTTTTTTTAAAGAAACCTAAAAAATAATTTTCTAAATGTCATTTTTTTAAAAGGATTAAAACTTTATTTTATTTCTCCTTCAGGTCCCTTTCCAGTTCAAACCACTCTATGGCTCTATGCTTTTTAATAATAATGTTCCTCCCCTCCTCCCCCCCCCTCCTTTTTTTTTTAATTTTGCTGAACAACAAAAAAAAACAAAACAAAACAAAACCAAACAAAACCAAAACAGGTAGTTTCAAACAATCCAAAGTGGCACGTTTTATTCAAAAAAATTTTGTGCTCTGAAGCTCACTGACCTATACAAGAGAACGGAGCTTCAGTACATCTATTCAGTAGATCACCACACACTCCAAGTCACAGCATCCTTCCTAGAAAGTCACAATTTATAAGACCTTTATAGAAAGATTAAATAGAATTGACATCATCTTATATCCCCGAAGTACATCATATACACATACAAAGTAAGTTGACATTGTCCAGGTGCTTCAACATTTATGCCGATAGGAGCACCAGCACTACTTGGCTGGCTGCAGGCAAATTAGATAGAAAGTGAGAAAAGCCCAAATATCCCCCGTCACACACAGACACCAAAAATAAATAAAAAGAAATGACAGCATTTGAGTAGAAAAGTGAATTCCCAGCCCCAGCCAGTGACCAGCAAAAGCCTGTGATGAGTGCAGTGCAGATACCGCGTGGAAAGCACTCACCCAACAACCTTTAACCCTCTTGCCTGACGTGTAGATAAGCCTCAGATATTTATAGGCTTTATCTAATTTCCTGTCCCCAGAAGCTCTCGTGCTTGGTTACACAATGTCTTCCAGGAACTCGCTAAATTCCACCTTGATTCTTTTTCCTCCTAAGATGTTTGGAGGAACACAAATTCTTCCTCAAGTAAGGAGGAAGTGTTTTTTACACACTTTTAGTAGCTAATAAAACTGCTGTCATCATGTAGCTGTAATTTGATCATACAATCATACCAGTTCTTAGCTTAGACTTTTTTTTTTATATATATATCTATTGCAAATATTTAAGTAGGAATTCATAATCTCTCTTCTGACCTTGCTAACATTTTGAACAAGCCCAGCCCTTAATCTCTGTTCACAAAAAGATTAATCAACTCCCTCGATCTTCCTAAATACACTTTTCTGGTTCCACTTCCACTGAAGGCAATCTCTTTGAGCAGAATTGCTCTTCGCCAAAGCCATACATGTACTTTTCCATCATGCATCTAACCACAGTCCCTTACAGTTATAACACACTTCTCTGAGAAAAAATATCGGAGGTGCTTCCCCCACTGTTTCACAACAATAATCATGGGACCCTTTCTCAGGTCTTCCTCACGCTGGTGCCCGCAGTCCCTCCTCAAGCAAGATATCTGCCTAAGATGTTTTGTACTCAAGTAACTCGACCTAGATGTATTAGGATATGAACAAAATCTGCTTCTCTTTCAGCGCAGGACCTTCAAAATGTCACCTTCTAGTCTACAGATGGTCGGGCTGCTTAGAAATGACACACTGCAGTATGGAGTAAAAGAGCGTTTGGTAGTTACCGCGTGCATACTACATGAAGAAAGTATTAGAGCAACAATTTCCCAAGATGTTCACCGTTTCATTTTTTATTTTCAAAAGACACAGTATACAAGCCTTTTTAAGCAAAAACATGGATAA